AGGGGGGATGGCCATGCCGCAATCCCTTCTCCTCCATTCTCCTCTCGGGATCTTGGGCACGCACGCACACGTGCCCGGCGTGAGTTTAAGCCATTGGGTCCGGGACTCGAACCGTGGTTGACTACGTGGGAGTCCAGCGACGTAGCCAGTATGCTAACTGCTGGTCCCAGTATGGAATATATTATTGACATAAAAGCATTATTTAACCTGTTTCAGTTGAAGAAAATGAAATTTGTCACCATTCAAGACTTTAATTTGCCTATTCCCTAAGTGCTGCCCTTTCCTGGCTGTCAGCACAGCAGTGCTCAGAGAACACAACACTGACGCTGTCTTGGATGTGTCTGCATACCTCCACCTGAGAGAGGCAGCCCAGGCAGCCCCGGAAACTGGCCTGGGAACAGACTTGATGGAAGCAAACCGAATAACTGCTACTGGGATGTGTGAGACAATAACGCTCACAATGTGAAAGATCGTTTTGAAGGAGGGACATTATTTTCTGGTATACAGTGAAAGTTCAGGCCTCTGAGGCTCTGAGAATCAAAAATGCAGTTTTGACTGAATGGTTTTCCTTGGCATTTTGTGAATGCTGTCACATCTACAGTGATAATAAAGCTGCTTGCTCTCTTTTTATTCCTAATCTCATGTCTGTACCTTAGCAAAAAAGAGCGGGATTCTGGAGACCAGCAGATGGCACAGTGGCTGGACTCCCACATGCTGACTGTAGTTTGAGTCTCAGACCCGCAGCTTGAAACATCAAGTTCGTGTGTGTGCTTGCCCAAAATCCCGAGAAGACTGGAGAAGGGACTGCAATGTGGTTGCCCCCCCCCCAGGGGTTGATTTCTCACTTTCTGTCTCTAGCAAGGATATGTGCTATATGTATATAAATATAAAATCTTAAAATAAAGAGCAGGATTCTGAATTGTGTCTTGGGTGAGAGCTGCCCTGCATGAGGTCCCATTTCACACTCAGTAATGGCAGGCATCAGCCGATCAGCAGCACAGAACCAGGAATTTACCTGGGCCAGGAGTTCATCCTTGGGTTGCTGTAGATAGACGTCCACTGGCTAGGTGCAGTTCAAAGACTGACATTACAAACGAAGCTCTGGTCCTCATAACCAAAGTGAAACTATATCCCCAACCAGCGGACCATCTGGAAAGTTCACTGGTGTGCAAGTCTGAAGCCAAAGAAACCTCGTGGTCATGGGATGAGGGAAAAAGGCAGGGAGCAGACAGCTTAGAGGTAGCTCAAAAAGCTTGAATGTTTCTTGTCCTCCAGGACCCTGGAGCAAGATTCTATACTGTTAGATGCCGGTCATACCAGAAGAGAAAGCCTAAAGTCCTGCCAGTGTCCGGACAACAACCCCACCCGACTCCATGAAACATTTGAATTT